TCTGAACTGTGAGCAAATGAATTCACTCCACAAAGGGTGGGGGCCACATTTAAAAACATTTTACTTATCAAATATGAACTGAAATACTAATTTACTATGAAGACTGTTTAACTGGTTAAAAATGAGGAAACCAAGACTACCTTTGTTATTAAGTTTGCACTTTAAATCCCTGAGAAATGCTAGTCAGTTAAAAAAAACAGTAAGTTTCAGTCGTCATAAATCTGAAAATTTTATAAATCGTAAGAGCCTCTACCACAGGAAGTTAAAAAAGAATAATACAATATAATACAATACAAAAAACTCCAAACACACCACACCTGGTTTACCCAGCAGATTGACTTTATTTGTATCTTCCATGATAATTAATTGTCATCATCATCGCCAGGCTCCCATCAGATTACAGTTTATTGCCACCTTAGCCATTACCTTCACTGCCACCACCCACTCAAAGGATGTGATTACACTCCCTTTAACAGGCCCGGGCAAAAAGCTACATTCTGGGTGTGATATTGACAATCTCATCATCAGTTACATATTCATTAGCTTAGATACTGAGGACATTTTCGGTGCTTGAACAGGAAAGCCCATATTTAGCTCCACATATCTCTGTGTAGGACAATAATGTTTTAGGTGTGACATTATTGTTTGAACTTCGGACAAAACAACAACACTGTGCCAACAATTCCTTTATTTCATGGCTCATGAGTAATCCAGCTGCATTCAATATTTATCAGATAATAAGGTGATTCTCTCTGAGTTGGAAGAGAGACAGCTGAAGTTTTTGCAGCGATGACAAGTTCCCGGTTGAGTGGACTTGCAGTGTTAACATGACTACAGCTTTGTTTTCCAAGCGCCTCATTCTTCCTGTACAAATGCGAAGGCCACTCACACTATATCAACACAGGCTCAGGAGGAGAAAAAATCAGACATTCGTCGCAAATAATGTCTGAATTTTCTTGTTTAAAAAGCACTCAGCCAGCATCTGAGACACAAGGTAGGCTGGTGCTTTCAGCTTGCAGGGAAATTATCTATTTCCTGAAATCTGTTCTGACAGCAAAATATGGAAATTGTCTGTGCTAATGATCATTTAGCCTTATCTGGATTGTTTGAAACAGGATCAGTAGGTTGTTAGTTATCTTAATAGATTGTAGCATCAATATGAAAAATAAACCCTTTAAATGCAGCTGGAATTCATGTGGCTTGGAATGAAACCAAGTCTAGACATGTTATCTTACAGTGTTCGACAAGTCTGGTATGACCACGCAACTCTATGACCACAAGAGACACAGGAACAGCATAGACAAAAATACATTGGTCATACTGTTGGACCATTTTGTTATATAGTCAAGTACGGTGTTCGTAGGAAGGTGCAAGACGAGAGCAGAATCATGTGTTTACACAAACTCCTCGCTGACGGTTTCCCCTCCATCCCTTTATTTATGTCCCACGGGGCAACGATGAGTTACACTGTGGAAATGGAGGCTGAGTCACAAATTGAGAATCGGCTTCATCTAACAGTGCGGTCATCTCAGTGATTGAAGCTCTGACTGTCCGTTGTTATAAGTTCAGAAAGCTGCTTAGCAACATATACAAGTCCAGGCAGAAGCAGTGGAATGAGCAATATTGCTTTGCCACACATTCAGTCACAGTTAGAGGAAAATGATTAGATGAGTGAAGGCCCAGAGGATGAATGCACCATCTCTTCACACTGACGTAAACTGTGTGGAACTTCAGACTACGTGTCAAGCAGTTATGTGACCTGTGCGCTTTTGTATTTTTCAATGTGCAGCGAACACATCACCTGGTTTGATGTCACTGTGTGTGTGTTTGTGACGCGTAACAAGCTGACTCAGTGAGTGGACCCACAGCAGAGGGTGGGTCTGTGGGTGTCCTGTGAATACATTTAAGGCTTTGCTGCCACCAAGTGGACAAACGCCAGTTCCAGGTTTAAGCAAAAACATTCTACTGTTCAGTCACTCAAACACAAAACATTCATTGGTAGTTACAAAACTGAGTGACATCAAGCACTGTGAGTGAGTCCGCCCTTTGTCTCCCTTCAGCACCCGTTTTCTTGCACATTCTGTGGACTGGTAACATCTTTGTGCGACTGCAGGCCATTCTGTTACGTTCTTTTTCTGTTTCACTTTGGCATGTAAATGGGTGTGTGTGTGTGTGTGTGTATGTGAAAGAGAGCTTGGGGTGACAGGAATGCAGCATTAACTGAAATCCTGAGCAAAAAAGTTGGGAACGTGGGATAAAAAGGCAACCCAACACACTTTCAGAGTCTGTGTGTGTGTGTGCATTTTTGTTTTAAGACTGCATGTGCATGGCGATTAAGGATTCAGGATAAATATGAATCTACCGTAGAGAAAAAAAAAAAGACATCCATAACGGCTGTTTACTGCTGTGACTAAACATGCAACATCATGAGCGCGGACATCATGGACACAGAAATTTCTTGGCACACCTGAAGCGACTGATGCACTTTTGACACACTCCGAGGCAATAAAAGAGCACATAAACATCCAGTAACAACACAGAGAAGTGTCATATGCTAGTTTCAACAGAGAAAAAAAATTAAATAAGTCACATGTATGATAACTGGATCTATACTGAACATCCTGAAGAACTGCTTGTGTTACAAAACTGGAAAAAAAAACTGAAAAAGAAAAAGGAATTTTTAAGCCTGCAAAGGCTAGTACTTAAACTTACTCAAGTATGCGGATGATATAAAAGCATCAAATGACAGGAAATTGTCAATTTTTTTGTCAATTGTCAATTAGATTTTCTGATGTCTATAATAAGTTCACTGGCCTCAATTGTACGTCTCAGTTAAAAAAAAAAAGAGTTAAATCTTCATGATTTTGCTCACAGATGAACACAGAAGTGGGCTGAGTGCTTTATGGGGCCATCAATGAAAATGGTCTTATCCACAAGTCAACAGAGTGAAGTTACAATTAGTCATGTAAAAAATCATTGTCTTTTAATCTCTCATCTTGTCTTGTCACTCAGAAACTCGTCCTTGTCGCTCTGCTTCCAAGTATGAGGTCGTCCTTGCGCCCACCTCACTTGCATGTCCCCAAAAGCTCCACAAGACCCATGAACTAGATTAGGTGCATGTGAATGCGTGTCTTGGTGTGCGTGTGCATGGAAGTGTCCCCTGCATCAAACCAGGTCAGCAGTCATGCTCCACTTTTCTCCTTTTCCAGAAAGTTCCCCTCCGTCTCTGCTCAATCCGGATAGGACGTGACAGAATCCATCCTGCCCCCACCCACCACCACCACCACCCTGCTTCATCCTCTTACTGTGCTTTTCATAACAATTTCAAAAGTAAGCAGATAGAGCAGGAAGGAGACCCCTGCGACATCAGTAAGTGGCGGAATAATCTTTGAAGGGTCCTTTGTTTTGACTTTTAGAAACTGCTCATCTAACTAGTCTAATTGCTACTTTAGCAGATTTAGTGTGCTTTGCAAAAAATGGTTCTGTGGTGCTTCTCCTCGGCCGATCTTTCAGGAAAACTAAGTCAGACTGTAGAACAAAGAGTCCACTTGTCTGGATTCTGGTCTTTTTATTAATGTTGAATCCCGACAAAACTCTACTGTTTGGCACTGCATCTGCAAAGTTTGCCAGTATTTGCTACAAAGCTACTAGTAGCTTGTTGTCATGCATCTCTACGTCAGCAAAGGTCTACTTGTTCTAGGTTTATATTTCACGTTGATTCTTCAAAGGAGGAGGTAGCAGCTAGGCACAACTTGGCCAAAGTTATTCTCTTATGGGACTGATGTCTGATTGGGATCATACAGTGGATTTCATTTTTATATTCTCTGCAGTTTTCCTGCCTGCACTGAATATAGAAAGCAGTTCAAATTGCTTGTTTTTCTTTTTTTAAACCACGAGAATGCCAGCTGAGATTAACAGCTTGAGAGCTGCTCCCCATGCAGTCAACATTATGGACATGAAGAAGACAAAGTGGGGATTTTTCATGCCATAAACACATACTGAGATATACAGGATAAGGATAGTGGAGATAGGTTTTCTGGTTATTGTATTTTTCTTCTTTCTGTACAGGTCTATCCCTGGTAAGAAATGCTTTATCTTACAGCAGAACTACTCTGACAGAAGTGGTATAAACTACCCACATTTTACTCTTAAACACAGTCTTTTTATTTCCCTCTTAAGGCTCCTTTGTGCATGAGGTATCTTCACTGATATTATTGTACCCTCATGATTTGTTAGTCTTGTTCCGATACTTCCAAAATAGGTAGGTCATAAAAAACACTTCAAGAGTGGAAAATATCCACTTTATCACACATGATCCTTTGTGAGAAATCCGAGCTTACAGAAGCAGTGATTTGTGGAGTGAGCCATGGTGAAATCTGATCTCAGCATCTCCAAGAGCAGACAGAATTGGATCGCATAATCACCACTTATAAAAAAGAATTAGAAAAGCAGAGGGGGGGATGGAAAACACGAAGGGGGGAACTGATGGACAAACTTAATCTAATTTTTGTACAACTGCCTTCATTTCACTGTGTTAATTAAGCAGCCATCCGTTATAAAAATTGCATTCAAAAGTGATTGATGTCTTTTTCAGAATGACCTCCATAAACTGGTGTTTTTTTGTGAACAGAGGAGGGAATGGGAGGAGGAGGGAGGAGTGATAAAATGGAGGGAGTGGACAAGATGGCTTGAGAAATGAGGGGATGGTCAGAAGAGAAGGCAACTGCTCTACTTTTCATGGAGTTCCCCCCCCCCTAACAGCTCCTTAACAGTAATGGACAGAGTGGTGGGGAAGCTAATGGTCTAGGGGGGCGTAAGGCAGCGACAAGATCAAGGGGAAAAAGTTCAGTTCAGTCTTTTCTTGGCACAGTCTACAGTGAGAGTGGCTGGTCATGAGACGTTCAAGAGGACTTGATCTGTCAGGGGGACCAACTGGACTAATTTGGGGATTTCTTTGTAAGCTTCAATGGGCTGAATTGCAGTTCACTGGCTCTTTCTCTACATTTTAAAGCTATCTATTTCCCTTGAACTTAACATTAAAACAATTTGGGTGATCAACTCCCTCTTGTATATTTGTACAGACTACTTTCCAGATTTTTTTTTAACTTTAGCTAAACTTCAAAATTAAAAACAAACTTACACGCTACCTCTCAGCAGGATCTGTGTCTCTCCACCTCTTTCCAAGCTGATATTTTTAGACCCCTTACCCCTCCCTCTCCTGCATAGATATATCTGGAAATAGACATTCCTTAGTTTTCTGTATCAGGTCTGTGACATTCATCTTCGAGCAGTAAAGCACATAACAGCAAGAATTTTTCTTGCTTTCACTCACTTTCTTGAACATCTTATCTTGCTACTGCACTGTCCATCAGCTCTCCTCGTCTTCTCAACTAGTGGGTGTACTGACATTTTGAAGAACGTGCTTCATGTGACCAAATCCCCTCCATCTGATATTCCAATTTTCTCTGTTGACTATCATTCCCAACAGTATCTTTTTTTCCTATTTGAACTTCCCGATCAACCTTTTTCTCTCTTGCCTTGGTAGTCCCATCCAAGATCTACTCTCATTTCTGGTTTGCTCTGACTGAATCGGTTCTTCTCTGATTGTGTGTTTGGTGCGGTCCTTCAACTCCTGTCCAAACCATCTTGCACTAATTGTGTTCATTTCTCTTGTAATCACATGTCATCACCCGCATGGCAGCTCTCCTCTCCGTGTATGATGAGGACAGGGAAAAAGAATGCATCCTGATAGGATGGAGGCCGATCCCTGTTAGTCTCCCTTCCCTCTCCACCTCCTCCGCTTTCTTGCTCTGCTTCCTCATCCCTCTCTCTCCCCCCGTCTTCCCTTGTTGCCTGCTCTTCCTCCTCCTCCTCCTCCTCCTCCTCCTCATCTTCTCCTTCAAGAACTCCTCTGGTCTCCTCATTGTTCTGTCTTGAGCCTAACCCCAGGAAACCTCCACCTCCTCCACTGCCTCCTCCTCCGGCACTTCCTCCCCCATCTTCCCTGCTTCCTCCCAGCCCTCCCCCCATGCTTCTTGAATGAAACAGGCTGTTCTGGCGCCCAGCTCCAAGTCTCCCCAGAGAGAATCCACTTCGACTGAGCACCAGTCTTCCTCCGATACCTCCCCCTCCTGGTCCTGCTGCCCTGATCCCTGCCACCGTAGCGTTCAGAAGGGCTGTGGTTCCCATCGGGGCTCTTAGCCTAGAGGGAAGACTAGCACTCGATGTGGTCCTCCTGCATCTGGGGCAGCTTTGCAAGAGGTAAGCTGAGTTGAACACCACAGGCAGAGCCAGGGGAGGCGGGTTGGTCCCCTGAGTGGGGGTGATGCCCGGCCCAGAGATGGGAGTAGAGGCTGTAGGATTTGTGCCTCCATTTGAGTCTAAGTCCATAAGGAGGGCTTCAGAGTAGCTGGGAACCATTTGTTGGTTGCAGCGAATGTGCCACTCCAGTTCAGTCATGTCCACAGTATTAACACGGGAGATGGCTCGGTAGCTTGATCCATTCAGGCCTATTCCAATCCCAATTCCTCCATTTTCAGTTCCTCCTTCGACACCATCACCTCTTCCACCTCCACCTGGTCCCCCACCGGATCCTCCAGTGTCTTCATCCTCGCCGAATAGCTTCTCCACATGGTAGTGGACGTATGCCGTGCGATATTCTGATACTACTCGCAGTGGCCAGGACAGGAGGAAAGCTGAAGCCAGCCAGAAGACTCTGTGCCTGGAAAACCATGGCTGGTGAGCAGGATCAGGGAAGGCCAGGATGTGCTCACGAAAATCCACATTCTTCAGGTGCATTCCCTCTCTGGCCTCCATGTAATCATCAAGTCCCTCGTTTTCCCCAAAGAATCGTGCTCGCTTGCAGTCGCAAAGAAATAAGCATAACAAGCTGTCAGAACCACACTGGGCAACCAGATGAACAATAATGAAAAAATACTCATCTGTTTAGTTTTTTATATTTTTAAAACAAATAAAAACAGTGAGAACACACTTTCAGTCATCTTACCTGTGTGAGATAGGCAGCTTCAGCACGTGCACTGGAGAAGCTAATGTACACAAAACATTGCAAAAGACAGTTTTAACCCCTGCACACAAATTGAAGCCATCTGATTTTTAAAAGTATCATTGCAGGTACCTGAAACACTTTGTGAAACGGAGGCGAACAGCAGGATGCAGCTGCAGGTCTAGTAGCTCTTTTGACACATCTTTGACACCGTAGCGGGCATAGTCAAACTCTGAACTTGAAGCGTGCGTGTTTACACGCTCATGGTAGACCTGAGGAAAGAATTAACAAAGAGAAATTGCACAATGATGCTGAAAAGAGAGAACTGTGGTCACCAATGAGCAGTTTGAGCAGAAAATATGCTCAATAGCATGAATATGAGCCTGTGTCATCATGAGTCATCGCACCTGTGTTGTTGTGTATGCGTCTCCGTTCCGGTATCTTGTAACCTGTCTGGTTCTCCTCACATAGTGATAGCTGATTGCTTTCCACCAAATACAGGGAGTGGCCTGCTGAAGTCTCTGCACACGCTCATACACTTCCTGCATAACACATTGGAAGGAAAATATTCAATCCTCAATGAAATGTGAAGAAACCAAAAAACTATGTGATTATCTCTCCTGAACATTTATATTCGAACTGATTCCATTCTGTCATAAGAATTTTGCATACTCTTTGCCCAATTCTGATGAAACTGCCAGGAGAGATACCTGGAATTCAGCATGAGCCAATATTGCCGTCTTGGAGAAACAATGCCAACATTCCACCAGGTACACCACATACAGCATCGCCAGGAAGGCCAGAGGGATGTAGACATAGCCACTGGAGCACGGGCTCTCCAGGTGCAGGATGTCATTGTAGTAGGCCGCTGATGTGGCGTCGTCATCATCGCCAAGAAGTATGGATGAGGAGCCAAGGACAGGCACGCGACAGAGAGCGCACCAGGCTAATGTGGCGAAACATCCATACATGAGGAGGGTCAGGAGGAGGCACTTCCAGTGGGACTCCCGGCACAGGGAGGAGGCCAGAGACTGCTGGACGGGCCTTTGCTGCGGATGTGCAGAGAAAGAAGGACACAGAGGTTAAGATATTCATGACTGCACATAGGCAACAGCCAAAAGTCTGTTTCTGGTGCTATTCTTTTTTAGATTATAAATAAAGGCAAGCACCACTCAAAGAAAATGTCTTTAACTATAAGCATAAACAGATTTCTTTCAGCAGCTTTTTCTGGTAATAAATGTTTTTGCTTTTAATTCTACTTAAATGAGTAATACAGCACTGTGCTCCACTACTTTCTTAGCTGCTTTCTAATCAATTATTGAAGTTAAAAGAGAAAGCACAAAATAAATTAATAAGTCACAACGTCAAACCAATTCAGCAAACCCAGGAAGGTACTTATTGACCATTTCCATATAACTGAGAAAGCCAATGCTTCTTAATCCATTTCCACCACCTATTTTGGGATTTTCTCTTCTTGTGTCTCTTTCTTGGCCTCTTATTCCTCATCCCCTCCAGACTCCTTTGCCCAGCCTCACTCAGTTCAGAATTCTTGATGTGGCCCAGCCAAAACGTTTGACAAATTTCTGTGCTTTCGTGTTGGCGTTTAAGACTATGATTAACAATGAATTGTCAATGTTGCATTGGATTGTAATAGATTTAAGGAGAATCTTAAAAAAAGAACATGGATTCAATGTGCCTGCCGACCCCACTGATTAAGTTTTAAGAACCTCCCTGTTTGGTAAATAGTCCAAAGCTTCCGCCCAAGTGTGCTGGCTTGACCAAAGGAATGCATTACAAAGCCCCACACCCATCATAGGATAAGTGCTGTGTATTAGACGTATGCAGACCTTGCATTACGGTGCACTCAAACACACACATGTTTCACAATACACAGATATAGCTGGTCTAATGTGCCACTCT